CCCCCCCCCCCCCTCCCCCTAGAAACCACCTTAAATAGGATAATTATATAGAAACCTCCGGTGTCAATTTATACATAAATCATCTTTAAAGTGCGTTTTTGTTGTAATCAACTGCTACCCAATTAAATTTTCACTAAAACCCTAGACATGCCTTTAAGAACTCACATTTAACGCATGTGACTCGTTTTGTAGTGTTCTTGTATAACTTGGACACAAGTCACGTATCTTAAACATGAATTTGTTAAGGTTACTTTCATGTGTGCGCGTGTTTTTTAAAAAAAAATTATTTTTGAGAGAAAAGTTGATCGAGTAGTGGTCGATTGCCACACAAAATTTTTAAGACGGTTTACATGGACTTGTCCAAACGGGCCGGGTCAGGCAAAATGGGTGACCCGGAGGCCTGAGCCGAGCCTGGGCCTGAGTCTGAGCCTGACCGGGCCGGCCCATTTTTTCTTTCTTTTTCAAAAAAAGGCTTAAATTTTAGTTTCTCGCGAAAAAAAAGGAAATTCAAGAGTAATGAAAATATGCAAAATTTTAACAAAAATTCAATCATATTATTAGTCACTTATAATTATACAATTTGCAAATATAATAGAAATTAAAATGATAAACAATAAATTCTTTATTACCAGTCACTAAAAATTACAAAATATTTTTGAAAATTATCGCATCACAATATATAAATACATCCTAATTAGGTTGGCACATACCCATCTATATCACTATCATTTGCAACTCTTTTTATGATAATTTATCACAATTTTACAGCTAAGAAATAAAAATTACAAACTACTTTCTACTCTCTATCTCCTATCGGCAACTCATTAAGTATATCTTTAATATTAGTTATCCGATCAATGCCTTGAGTTCTCTCTACAGACCTCCACTAATCTTGTAGACACATTATCGTATGTATGGCAAACGGATCTAGCGATGTTTTGTGGTCTTCGATCAAATGTCTGCATGTGCTGAAGACAGATTCCAAAGCAACTGTAGAAAGCTGCACTATTAGTAAGTCATGACCTATGATGAAAAGTATAGGATATGAAACCATTCCATATATTCTCCACGGTTGCAAAAAAATCAAAATCAACATTATTTAGAATTAACTAAAGGTGTAGCTAATTATTGTTCAATTTCAAAAATTTCTCTTAATGATGATCCAGATCCAGATCCATGGCTACCAATTAGCCTCGCTATCACCAATTTCCTATAAAAAATCTTACATTTACCCCATCTTGAGTTTGTAAGCTATAGGTAAAGGTGTAATTATACTATATCTACCAGCATACTCATCAAATAATCTTTAGAAATAATATTTAATAGTGTTATGATGAGTAAGAGCAGTAATAGTCGAACCATTATCTATGTCTATTGTCATGTTCTCATATAAAGAATTTAGCAAATTTTAAAGATCAATATCCTTCAAGCATGGATCAATAAGAATCCCCAAACCGAAAATAATAGGAATAGGTCTAAAATAAATATTTAATTTACTTTTCATTTTAAAAATCATGTTTTCAAAATAATTATCCATGCAATAATTAGCAAAAAAAAGTTTGAATACTTAAAACTTGTAAAGTAGCTTGAGTAATAGTTGGATAATAACAACTAGATAATAATATAGTAACTTCATAAAAAACCTATAGCATCTCTTTTACACTACATATAACTGTCCATTCATCACCAATTATTCCATACATACTACCAGAGATAGAACTAGAAGTATAGAAAGCAATAGAATTATTTATAATTTCTTTATATTCTTTTGCTACATTTAACATTGCATAGGTAGAATTTCACCTTTGGTCAACATCTTTTGGAATTAACTTGGGTTTTAAAAAAAATATTCACACAATTGTTTCCATCTTTTTAAGTCTTTGTTTAGAAACATTATGAGTATAAGCCATAACCCTAACTTTTTCTATCATGAGCTTAATTTCATTAAATGCACATTGGACAATTAAATTTAAAATATGACACATGCATCTACTATAAAAAATATCACCAACATGGCAATAGCAAAGTTAATTTGATATGATCTACAACTACATTACTATTACTTGCATTGTCTAGTGAAAGAGAAAATAATTTTTTTAAAATTAATTTTGAAAGTTATTTGATTATTAAATTTGCAACATTAATACCAGTGTGTGAATATTCAAATGTAATAAAAGAAACAACTCTTTTAAACCTTTGCCAAGTATCATCAATTTAGTGTGTTGCGATACATAAATAATTAATTTGTGCTCTAGATGTCTAAATATCATAAGTTAGAGAAAATTTACAGTTTAAGCTTTAAAAATAAGAAATTGTTTGGCCGTTAGACCGGGCCTGGCCCGGATATAGGTCATCCAGTCCAACCGGCATTTTTTTGCCCGTTGGACCAGGTCCAATCCTCGGGCCAGGCTGGGTGTCTCCAAATTTGACGGCACAGTCTTAGTCCGGGTCTGATCCAGGCCCGGTGTTAGACCCTAGAGAGGGGGTGATTAGGGTCTTATGCTAATCTAATCCGATTAAATGTCAATTAAAATTAATTAATAAGTTGTGTTCTTGCAAGATAGATATACAAGAGTTATAAGCAAGAATAAGCAATATATATACAAAGTGATATATCCTATATGATGAAATATATGCAAGGATATATAAACAACACAAGGGTAAATAATCTAAATAGGATAGTGGATGAAATGAATGAGCAATGCACAATTGGCGATATAAGATGAATGCAAAAATAAATACGCCAAAGACAAACTCAAACAAGCAATATGATCACGGAGTTCGAACCTTCCGTCCTACGTCTCTGCTCCCCACTCCCGGGGAGAAATCCACTAACACAATCCGGTTTGGAAGCCGGAACTTCTTCTACACACTTGGTTTACAAGTTCACCGAAAACTCTCACACAACAAACACTATGCAATCACACTCTACACCCACTAAGTGTTGGACCTAGCCGTGTCTCCCTCAAGTGCTCGGTTACAACCTCTCTCTAGGCACGTCAACCGACGCCACTCCTCTTGGGACGATCCCCGACTCTCACCACACACTCCTCACTCGGTGTACAAGTGTATTACAAAGTGATTCTCACAATAAGCACAAATATAACAAATGATTGTTCTCAAAACAAGGTGAGAACTCAATTAAGCACAACTCTTAGTCACAAACCCACAACCCCAAATTATACTATGAATGTAAATACAATAAGCTCAAAAGGTTGTGTGTGAACAAAGAGATATAAATCAAAACTAAACTCAATGTAGTTCTAGCTAAATAACAATGATAATCAAATATATAAAATAGCTAGAAATAGAGTTTAGAAAACTTCTCAATATATCAAGAGTTGGAGGGAGAATAGTTGAATGCCCAAACACCAATAGATGATCTCCTCAAGCTCTTGTAGAATTGAATCACAAAAACAAACTCGGTCGACCGGATATTTCATCGGTCGACTGGACCGGTCGACCGACAGACTCTCTGTCGCCCAGTGAACACGAGAACTCAGGTTCGGTCGACCGGTTCGGTCGACCGAAAACTGACATAAATAAAAAACAGGTTTTTGACACATTTAAACAATTTGTAAAATATTCATTTGACTTCTGAAAATTATGAAACTTTGGGAAATGCATATAAACATGTAAAGGAACATGTTACAAAAAGAATTTTCCAAATTGCATTTCCTATTTGTGAAAAATCATCATTTTGCAAAATAGTTCAAAACACGAAAATGTAAACATGTGAAATTTGATATTTTGGTTAAACCATGTTTTGAAACTTTGCACATTGATTATATAGACTTAATAAAATATGTATATGATCATTGTTAAGTCCAAAAACTAAGAATATAATATTTTCACAAAATTGCATATTCTATGCAATAATTTCAAAACACTAAATATGATTTTATTAAATATAAGCTTGTTAAAGATGAAATCATATATAGGCATATTAACATGAAACAAAGTAGTATTTTCCAATTCTATTTATTTGTTTCATATATAAACTCGAAAACTATTACACCAAAAACATATATGTATATATATATAACTATATATATACAAAACCAAAACCAAAGCGTGTATGTGTGTATATGATTGAGCTTAAAGTACTAACACACATAATATAAAACCTAAAACTAATTTACCCAAGCTTGATCTAGATCTTCATTGAGCTCAACTTGGTACACGTTGCGGATGAAGCTAAACTTGGATCTTGAACTTGAATTGTACGATGCTTCACTCCACAATTCCGCCAACCTCCATTTGATATGATCGTTAAGGCTCGATTCCATCCATCCTCCAACTACGTTGTTTGTCTACAATACATAGGAATGCACAAACACTAGACAAACAACATTTGAATTGCAAGGCTTCACCGACATTCCGCCAACCTCCTTTGGATATGATCGTTGAAGCTCTATTCCATCCATCCTCCAACTACGTTGTTTGTCTACAATACATAGGAAAACACAAATACTAGACAAACAATATTAGTGGTAAATTGTTTGTTAAACATCATCAAAACAAGAAGGCCAACAATCTCCCCCTTTTTGATGATGACAAACAATTTACAAAACGAAGTATATGCATGAAGGAAATGAACATATACAAGATAATACACATGCATATAAACAAGGAATTATATACTCACAATATTTCTCCCCCTTTGACAACATCAAAAAGGGGACAAATGAATTAAGAGAGCGAAAGCTCCCCCTATCAATAAGCATAGGTGAGTATAAAAAGAATATATATAGGGATTGCTCCCCCTATCAAAAAGCCATATAGAATATATGCAATGAAGATCATGGCAAACATATGTGAGCAAGCATAGATGGAAAATATGCTAAACACAACTCACATACTTAAAGACAATGAGAACACATATGAATATATCAATGTGAAAGAAGTGTCTCATTAGCACAAAAAATATAGAAACCATATAAAAGAATAGATTTATGAAATCAAAGAAGAGGAACATGAGAGTCATGCAAAAAGTTTTCAAATGAAAACAAATCAACCAAAAGAAATCATAAATCAAGATTTGAGTCCAAAACCCATGTTTGATCAAAAATAGAATCTCCTTTGTGGGATTTGATCAAACCACATATGGAATACATTATAAGGCACGAATAGATGATCCATAAGCACAAACATATAAATATCATCATATAAGTGAAATATAATGAATTCAAAGCAACAAATCAAAACAAAATCTTTAACAAAAGAATTTCAAGAGAGGCAACAATATATCAAGCTCTAAAGCTTGTTCTAACCCATATAATCATTCTAGCATCCGGTAAACATGATTTGGGAATAAACACCCAATAAACCCGGAGGGTTATATAAATGCAAACCTCTCATTAAAGCAAAACCAATGATCATGAAAACAAAAGAATTTAGCCAATAAAAGGAATTGTTTTCATAAAAGTTTAAAATGCATTTTTCAAAACCAAGAAAGAGAAAAATAAAAACACTAAAATTCTTGGTTTAAAAATTATTTTGGCACCCAAGCATTCTTGGTGCCGGATTGTTTAGGGACATGACCCCTATCAATAAAGCTCAAAGCCCTAGGGTTATGAACCCTCTTAGGCGCATATGGTGCACGAACACGGTCATAACAAAAATTACTCAAATGACCCTTCCGATTGCAATAAGTACAATGGAAAGGAAGCATTTGCTTATGTTGACCAAACGGTTGTGCACGGGAAACATTA